TGTCTTTACCTCTGTCTCTGTCTTATCTCTCTCTCTCTCTCTCTCTCTCTCTCTCTTTATCTCCCTCTCCCCAACTGGACAGACAGCCACCCACCTAGAGCTGGGGTCTGTCTGAGGTTTCTGCCTCTTAAAAGGAAGTTTTTCCTTGTTGCCATCACCAAGTGCTTGCTCATGGTGATAAAATAATATAAATAGGTATTATCCTTTCAAATGTTGGTACCTAACACGTCCCAGGCATGACAACATTAAGAGACACTAGCCTAGTGCTTATGGCAGATGATGGCTCATTTCATTTTACTGCTCAAAGTGTTTACTGTGGTGCTTTTCTTCCTGTCAAATGACATGCACACACTGTTGTAAGTGAATGTGTGGTGGGAATACTGAGCAGCAGCTGGATAGTAAAGAAGCAGCTCTCTCCTCTGTGGTGGAGGAAAAAGACTCTTTCACACTGCTGAACTCTGCTCATACCACAGTAACACTACAGCATGTGAGATGTCACACAGCCTACCTATGACTGACTCACACTGTAGACAGAAAACATTGACACACTCATAGACGACAGTAAACTATGCTATATAAACCTTTTTGCCTTTCCTATTTCATCTGTCTAGGGGGTTAAATTAACCACCTGGGTTACTCCAGCCATCACCTTTGTACTCTGAAGGACTGCTTGCTTGTTATGTCTGCTATCTAGGAACTTGAGCTTCCTCTGTTGTCAGTCAGAGTGACACACAGAGGGGTAAGGACAAGATACGTTATAAGTATGAGAATGAAAGTTGAACAGCAAGGGCCGGATTGAGAATGTAATAAAAATGGAAAATTAGTCAGGGTTGGTGGGGAGATGGTGTAGGTATATTTCCTTACAAGAGCAGCAGAACAAAGAGCGCTTTGTGTGGAGTGCTGCGAGAGTGAAGTGGAGCCAAGGCTAAGGAAGTGTTTAACAGTGCACACTGACTGCATTCCTGCTGTGTGATTACAAGCAACTTCTAATTTATTCTCCTCCAGACTTAACTCTGCACTGTCGTCCTCCTGCTTTCCTGACTCGCTTTTCCTTCCTTAGGTATTTCTTTTCTAAGGATTCTGAACCTGTCCACTGTTTTAAGGTTTGGGAAAGGAAAATCAATGCTGTGTTGACTGACAATGTTCCATTACTCCAAGCTCATGTTACATAAACGTCCCCCTCTGTTTCTCTCTGTACAATGATAGTGCACTGTTGCATTTATTCAAATTTGGGGTTGGTTTAAAGAGGGCATGGTACTGGCAGAAAAACATATTCTCAAAGACTGGAAGATCACTGCTGCACCGTGCTTCAGAAACTGGTTGAATGACCTTTCAGTTTCAGTCACTTATTTACATGGAGAAACTGCGATGTCAACATAAAGGTGTCTATTTGGGAAAGGTGTGTATTCCTTAAGCACAAAACTCTTGTTTAGCACAGATTTAAATACTCTCTAATTGGGCTGCTTCTCTTGAGTTTTGTTCAGCTTTGTTCAACTAACAGCTTACAGTAAATTTCAGATTGTACTTTTTTCTCTGTGCCGCCACAACACTTGTTTACAGTGCCGGTAAGTCTGAATGAATTATTGTTATGTTCATAGATTCTTTAAACTGAACAAATGATTGAATTGTGTAGAACCTAACTGATCTATATGTGCAGCATCCATATTGACAAAGGTTTAAACATTTATCTTTGTGTAGGCGATCTAAATGGCTTAAAACTCAAGCAGGTGACCCAGTAGCTTTAAAGATGTTTTTTTACATCCAGATAATTTCTATAAAATCCAGACCAGTCCTCTATCGGAGACCTGCATTTATTTATTAAAACGTGTAGCCACACCAGGCTAGTACAGGCGACTTGTTTCTATTTGGGACCCTGTTTTTATTGACCACAGCTTTTTATATTAATTGTTTTATTGATTTTTGTTTATTCCCTTTACGCTTGTTGTGCCTCTGCATACTACTATTAATGGATTGTAGTTTAATATTTAACGTGGGTGAATAAAGGATTTCTCTGTTCCAAAACCAACAGCAGCATTTGCTAATCACGGTCAACAGTGGTGCTACTGCGCTTCATATATAGAATAACTTAAGAGGACAGCCTATTAATAGAATGCGCACAGTACATGATGTAGGAAGGATATAAAGCAAAATACCTTTTTCGTGCATCTTTTTGAGCAAGGAGTTAAAAGTCTGCCATCAAAGAACACATACATGTCCATATATATATCCAAGTCAGACAGCAGAGAACAGGACTAAGTGACCAGAGTCCTGGTTCTGGTTTATTCATAAACCAATAAATATGAAATATCCACATATAAATACATTGTACCATCCAGAAGATGTAACATAGACAAACACAGAGACATTTCACTTGAATAGTGGTCTGCGCATCATGTTTTTGTTCAGTTAACCAATGTATGTAATATGTCCCAGCTGCAGAAAAGTAATCAAAAACAGACCAAGTAGTCAGTGGAGAGAAGATTTGAAAAAGAGTTACAATGGCCCTGTTTTTTAGCCTTCTCATAGCAAATTGATATTTTTAGGGCCAATAAAACACACCTGTTTCTCTTCAAAAGGAATTTGTCAGAAGCAACAAGAACTGTGAGAAAAACAGGTTTGTTTACAGGGAATTCTGTTCAAGACAAAATATATCCTATTATTATTCAGTCCACAACTTTAAGTATTGTATAGTGGTCTCATTGCTTATGAGTGACATTACCACATCTGTTATGAGTAACATAAATCTGCAAATGTTACACGCACACTGAAAGAGACTTTTGTAAGAGAAACCTATGGGAAAAGAAGGTTATGTTGCATCTTAGATATTTCAGAGTGTAATCCTCCTGCTTTGGATGGAAGCCCCACTAAGAACTGCCCAGGTTTTTACAGATATTACATTTCACGTTTCTCTCTTGTCCACACTCCCAACCTTCCACCAGTTTGTCACATGC